GGGAATGGAAGGTGACCTTGCGATAGGTGGTGCCATCTTCTTCGACAACCCAACCAGCTTCAGCACAGAGAGCCTTCAAGACCTCGTTGTTGTCGCAGTGCTTTGGAAGCTTATAGTTACCCTGAGCACGTAGACCCGTATAGATCTTGGCTGCTATGGCTCTTCTTCTCCTCTCTCTCCTCTTGTTGTTCTCTCTCTCCTTCCACGTCGGCAACCTCCCCGATGATCCGCCGGCCGTCATTCTTCCTCCTCTTGCAACAACAACTCCCTCTCTATCTCTCTGAATGAATTATTATATCTCTTGGGTTGTGGGAGGGGAAGTTGAGGGAAGTGGGTGTTGCTGGACAGAATGCTCACGAGCACAACGTTCTCTTTATTCGAACTGCAGAAGTAGACGCCAAATACAATGTATTCATACACGGATACACCCCTCCTCTCTTCTTTCCCTTTATCTATTCTTTTTTTTTTTTTTACCCTTTGGCAAAGGAGAAGTCTTCTGTTGGTAGTTAGTGAAAGAGAGGTGGTCAACACCGAGTCAGGGTGGTCCAGTCGGCATCGATCGAATTTCTTATCGTAAAGTTGGAGGTTCAAATTTTAAAGTTCATGTAAAGATAAGATAATTGATTATTATAATTGTGCGTACAAGATCCTGCACAATATAAAAATAAGAACAGATCTCTCCCTTAGTGAACTCGGGTGAGCCAGTTGAATGACCAACCACGCTGCTTGGAACAGCCTGCGAGGTCCAGTGGTAACCTGGAACGGCGACGGGAGACCCTGGGAGAGCGGAAGAACGATCCAGTAAGGCTGAAAGAGGTTCCTGGAACAAAGAAGAACAAGTTAGAAGGGCGCCGGAGTGTTTTCCGGCGTATCCCCTCCGACGATCTAGTCAGTCTTTGAGAAAGAGAGAGGAAGGAGAAAACACTGAGTGTGTATTGTAGTAAAGAGTTTTTTGTTGCATACCCGTCTTGCCTTTTGCAAGGAGTATTTATACCTCAAAAGCTCATGATTGCTGTCAGTGTAGTCAGTAGGTGATCATTAGGTACAGGCAGTGTGCGCACTGATTCTGATGAGGAATGTCTTCTCTTCTTAACTGCTCGGGGTCCCGAGCAATCAATGCTGGGTCATCGGGATGCCGACGGTACAATGTACTCCTCTCGGGGAGGATGCAATAAATGCTCTGTATTAGGAGCATTTATTGTCTTTCATTTCCGAGCCTTACCGCATTGAATACGGTCTCATCAAGGGAATGGTGTAATTAATAGTTTGCTTTCCCAAGTCGCGTGTCAGCAACGGCATGCAGTTTCTCTGTCTTCGATGTGATATCATACGCCACGCGTCCATCCCCTATTGGTTGTGACCCCTGCCTTCCAGTACGTTCTGACACTAATTGTGTAAGATGAGGTCATGATGAATAGCCTAGGCTAATGACCTGTACGTCAATAGCTTATCCTGGAGTAGAGGAAGCGTTCAGGACGGGGTACCTCTCGGCATCGAGGAAAGGCTTATCTCGGAACCGAGGGAGGTATGCCGATCGAGGTACCATATCAGACCGAAGCCACGTGTCGGTTGTAAAACATACTGAATGCATGATCTTATATGACGAGTACCTCGGGGGCGAGGACCTTTGTGCGCCGATGGTGCTCGATTTTAGCAACAGTGTTTTGGTAATACCGATGACACGTGTCTTCATCATGGAACATTTCAGAAAAGTCTCATCAATAATAATTTAGTTAAATTCGTTTTTGAGATAAATAACAAGTGCAGCCAAATATTTCATATACAGAATGTTTGATAAAAAAAAAAAAAAAGGCAAGTCTTTTGGTTGCAATTAATATTGAATTCAGACGCTCTTCCAAGGTTGAGTCAATTAGCAAGTCCTGACCAAATGTACCAATCTGTAGGTCTACTACTAGTTTTTTTTTTGTTTTTTTTTGATTCTAATCCAATATCATTAGTAATAAACATTATGCTAAGTTCAAATTGTGTAATAAGTAATGTGGAAGATTGTCATCTTTATTTGGATGGAATTTGAGTGAGGAAAAATATTTAAAAACGGAGGGAGTTACTATTGCAACTTTAACTTCCCATATTACACTTTGCATATCTAGGGAAATAGGTTTACCCTAGAAAGAAATTGATAATATTGGACAAGTGTGTCTTATCTTTGTTTTTTTTTTTAAAAAAAAAAAAAACCATGACAAAGTACATAATCAACCCACAATTACTTGCTTACCCAACATTTAGATACATACGACAAAAATTTAGAGAGCAAATAAACTCATTATCACAACAATAACTTTTTTAACCCATTTTTTAGAAAATTAATTTGGGGGATAAACTTATGTAAAAAGCTTAAGAGGGATGATCTTTATATAATTTGAGATTTTCATAGCATAATAAGAGGGATTTTTAGATATTTATGTGGTGATCCCTCCACCCCTTCCCGAAAACTATCATATATTAAAAGAAAATGATATATAATTCAAATGAAATTCAAAAGTTAAAATTTAAATGCATATTATTCATTAAATGAATGGGTCTCATTGAAAAATTAATGAGACCCACCTATTTAAAAGATGATATACATTTAAATTATAATTTTTTTGATTTTGTAGCATTACACCATATTAAAATAGTGATATTATTAAGACTTTAGTTTTAGTAATGAAGTTAAATGGAATTTGTAGTTTCTATAGCACTTTCGGTACCAATAACATATAATTGTACGACATTCAGATGTAATATTTAGAGTTCAAAAACTTAACAACTCTTTTGGGGTGAAATTATGAGAAATTTATTTTTTATAAATTCCGTAGTCTCGGCATGGATGATTTACTTTTAACTAGTCAGAAAGTGAATTAACTGAGGTGCGTGTAAGCTGAACCGGACATCCCATTAAAAAAAAGAATCATTCTATAATCAAATACTTATGCTATTTTGGAGGTTATATGAAATTCATTGACTAATAAGTACTAAAAAATATGGAATGCCCTTCACATAATTATCCACAAAAACAAATAAAATAGCCCCCTCTTACAAATGTCATACCTAAAAACTTGAGTTAGTTACTCTTAAAACACATAAGCCTTCATTTTAAGGTAAGATGATAGTATCAAAAATGGAGGTGGCATACTATAAATGAGATTGGTTAGAACTTATTTTGGGTTAAATTGCAATCAAATAGGATTAAATTAATACAATAAAAATTAGGTTCGATTTTAATAAGGCTAAGATGGATCTTCAATGATTTTATTTTATTATAAATCTACCAAATTAAATCTCAATCTCATTGTTTTTTTATAATTAATTTCACATTGATACTAAAATTAACTTATGTTTGGTTTGGTATTTTTGAAAAATAGAATGATGTAAAGTTGAAAGAACATAAAAAACATTATGCTTAAAAAGGAAAAAAAAAACAAGAAGGATGAAAAAGTTAATAGATTAGTCTTCTTTCAAATTCACCAAAATCTTTTCATCTACAATTGAGAGAAAATTTGAATGAAGAGTTAATATTGTATATCGAAATATATATTATTTACTTTTATATCATTTAATATATGTCTATATCCAATTTATCTATGACATATTATGTACACATTAATTTTATATATAAATGCAATGATAAAATATGTATCTATAATTTGTTTATTCTATCAAACGAAAAAAAAAAAAAAAGAATTTATCGATTAAGGATAGAAAATATATCATTTTCACTTTTGACCTTTTTTTTTTTTTTGATATTAGGATTATGAGAGTTTGAACTAGCTTATACACATCTCTCGACTAATTTTTCACCGCTCCAATCAAAGATAAATTATCTACTCCAAGACTAAAAAATTTATCTCCCATAATCTTAACTCTAAACTCAAGGTATTTAATTTTAAGGCTAATCTATGCCTCCATTTCACTACCAAACCCACAACTAGTGTAATGTTGTCCTTTTTTATAGCGTATCATACAGAAATTTCGGCCACAGGAGATCTCCACCGGAAGATATCGTATCTAGCATTTATTAGACCCCTAATATGAACGCCTCCATTATTGACAAAATGCCTTTCTTCTTTCTTTAGTTGAGATTTGTGAATTCCAAGCTATCCCCGTAGGTTGGGTGCTAGGGGTAGCATTGTCCTACTATGTTGTGGCTTTAAAATCCCCATATTGCCCCAAATTAATTGTCAGCAGCACAACCCCAACCTCTGCCTTTATTAAAGGGCACATCAGTCAATTTGCCAAACAATAAATCATTATCATGACTGCTTGATTATTCGCCGCTGGACCATTGATTTTATTGTCTTCCAACGAGTCCCCTTTTATGAGATAAACAATAAAGAGCTTTCCCGTGTAACGTGAGAAGAATTGGACCATTTCTCCAATAATTTTTAGTCAAAATATTATTTTAGAATTACGATTTTATCATTTATCCAAAAATACCAAAAAAAAGAAAGAATTATGATTTTATATGGGCTCGACTAAAATATCATTTATTTAGGTATTTTGTTAATCCCTTTAAATATTTGCACATCTAATTACATATTATAGAATTATTATTTTTTATTTTATTAAATAGATTAATTAGATCACTTATAATATTATTATATTACTACATACCAATAATAATAATATATATTTGATGGTATATGACTTTACTTTTTCATATAGATTTAAATAATTGTATGTAACTGTAATACTAATGAATGAGTTCAAAAAAATTTAAAAGTCTTTATACAAACGGTCCAAAACAAGTTAAAAATAAAAAAATAGGTGACAAAAATGAGATGAAAGCATATAGGTATGTATAATTGACTTTATTATAATAAATATGAATAAAAAAGAAAATCAAAAATTTTTTGTAGATGTTGAAATTTATAAATAGTTTAAAATAGATATGGATAAAAAGATAGATTATTTCAATTAAATTCAAATGACTCACAAGTCCCTAAAAAAAAATATAACAAAACTCCTATAAGTATCCATGATACAAGTCAGATACTAGAAGTAGAAGTATAAAAACGTGAATATTTCTTCCAACGAAATAAATGAAATTGTTACGAATTCAAGATATTAAATTAATCAAATTTGTCTAATAAAAAAAAAAGTTAGCTAATCCAACCAATCTTACTTGCACAATAAAAAAGATTACTAATTTGTCTCTCCTGCGAATCAAATTACCCAAAGGTGTGCGTTCATGAGCCCACGTTAAAGTTTCAATCAATTTCCGTCAATATCTACTCCAAGAAATTCTTTTTGACCTCTTGATTGAGAGTATAACTGATTTTTTTTTATTTGTCATTTGTTAATCAAAAGAAATATAAAAGAGAAAAATAAACGTAGGAATTGGTGTCATTACATTTTAAAATTAGACTTAATTTGTTGACTTAAAGATGTGATTTTATTGTATTCATTAAATTAATGCCATTTTTATATAT